AAGGGGCAGGAAGCACACAGCATTCCTTTTTGTCTCCACTGAGGGCAACCAAAACAGAGAGGTCCCTTTGGTTTTAGGAAGCTACTGAGTTTACAAATGGGAGGTGCAGTCTACAAAGGAAGGCGACTCATGCACATACCATTATACAGTATTTGTTTTTTCCCTTTTCTGGTATCTCTTGTAGCTTTAACATTGCTTTGTGAATACGTGGAAAAGCCTAAGGTTGCCCACAAGGCTTTCCAGCTGTCAAAGTCACTGTGCAACTCTACATCCTTTTGCACTGCTCATGATCTGGCTTCATAGCCCAAAGGCACAAGGTAGAGCCCTCATGGCCACTCCTGCTCTTTGAAACAACAAGTGTGAGTATGGGCAGCGTATTCCCTGGACAATAAAAAGAGTGGCAGGTGGTACAAACAGTGTTAAAATTACCTTGGTCATGTACTTTATTGTTTTACAATCAGCAATGGGGTTATTATCTCCCGTTAAATACCACTTGTGTGATCAATCACAGTTAGGCTGGATAATAGCACAGTTTATGTGAGCAAGAAGGGCTTCACAAAGAGTTTTGCACCCATCCTTAATGAGAATCCCTCAGAAACCAATGAAGATAAATGCTGTATTTTCAGTTAAGCTGCTAGCTGCTCTATTCCAGATTGTTAAAATACATTTGAATTAGGAGATTAGCATTCAGGTATTTAGATAGAGCATCCAAAAGAATGGAGAAAAATGATCTTCTTTCTGTAGTCGTGTACCTGAGCACTACTTGAAATACCACTCAGGAGTGCAGTTTATGGGTTCTTCCTTCCAAAGAGTCTTCAGACGCTGGGTCCAGGCAGTCAGCATCTCCTTCCTCTTCTCCTCAGAGGCATGCTTTGGAGCATAACAGATGTGAGGTTCAAGGACTTTGACACCACAGAAGTGCATGATTCCATGCTGGATGCAAAACAAAGAAGGAAATGCTTCAGGAAATAGTTACTCTTTCAACTGAAGAATATGCATGATTCAAATCTGAACCTGTTTCTCTGACCCAGGATCAGGCAGGTTCTCTAAATCTGTGCATTTATCAGAGAAGGGAAATAAATTGCTTTTACACCAGTAGAACTCTCCTCTTTGGCTGCTGTACTCTGTTAACTTTGCAAGGATCAGAGATGGCCTAAAGTTCATTGTCCTGTTCGAACTTCCTCAGATTGTTCCTGTACTGCAGTGCCTTTCACATCTACTTCCAAATTGGGTTTGGGGATTTTTTTTTTTCAACCTTTCCCCTCTGAAAGAAGACTAGTGCCTGTGGAATCAACTCCACTTGCCATTTTCCCTCTGTGTATTTCTGAATTCAGTGTCGTGCTTCACGTTTTTGTCTCCTTTATTTGCGAGCCCTGGAGCTGGACAGCTCCTCAGGGGCAGGTATCTGGTAATTGCAGTGGGCAGGAGATCATGTGTGATTCCCTTCCTGCCCTGCATCCTACATTGGGTAACCATGGGGAAACATCCCACACCCTAGAGATAAAGGAAATCCTGTAATACCAGAGAAACTGAGAAGGCTGACAGCATAAGCTGCCTCCAAATTGTAATCTGGAGGAAGGGGCACAAAACAACTTTAAACCTCTCTGGACTTTCACGGTAGTCTGAGGATTTTAGAGCCCAGTTTATAACCTGCAGATCCTTGGAACAGGCAACTTATTACTTTCTTATTATTCTTCCTATAAAATAAACATTAAAACAACTGTTAAAAATAACTGGCATAGTAAAAATGAAAGCAAACAGTAACCACATATATTCATACATTATACCTGCATGGGCCACAGGAGATAGCGAACATCACCTCTGCTTGCAAACTTCTCTTTGGTTCCTCCAGTGGTGAAAGAAAACAGGGATAATTTGTCCTAGAATTAAGAAAGTGATGCTTGAGTTAGACACGTTTAAAGAAGAGTGGCTGAACAGTTCAAGAGATATTCAGGGGAACCTGAAGAGCATAAATTTCTAGAAGGGGGAGTGTCATATTCTTTCCCAGACCTTACAAGAATTGGTGGTTCTGATGTAAAGATTGGTGATATACAACTAGACAGTTGACTGTGTGTCCAGACTTTTGAAAGAGACAGGTTAAAAAGAAAAGGACACGTGTCTGACACCCTTGTGTGATGGAGGGCAGATCATTTTCTCCCTCCTGCATTATTTGGAAAACTGTGGCTGGAAAGCCCTCTGTTACTGGGAATATTTTTATTCCTGTTCTTTCTGACTGCAAAAATTGAATGCTAAAGTCCCCCGTCAAACTTTGGCTTGCTTGTCACTTGCCAATCAATAAATACAGACCAAATTATTTCCCAGGCATCCTAAACCACCGTGTTTCTTTGCTTCTCTAACTATGGCATTAGCCATAGGCTTGTGCTCAGATTCTCTTATCTCAGTTTTCTCTTCTGTAATTGAAATAACAATTTTCCAGTGCAGTATCCCACGTGCCTTGAGCCTGCACTTCGTATGCAGCTGTGATCACTGGGGATTATACCCATTTTGTCAGTGAGCCAGCCATTTCTGAAATTTAAAGAAACTGAAATGTTTGGAATTGTTGAGAAGATCGGAACTAGCAGAGATTACCATGCAGCAAACATAAATGTGAAACTAATATTGATTGTTTCTGGATGCTGCAGCTGTTACTAAATAAGATCCATCAGACACTGGATTCCAGAATTTTCCATGCTGTGAAGAACTAAAAATTTATGAAACACCATTGAGAGAGACTGGTCTTACCTAATTTAGAAGTTACAGAGAAAAAAGGTTCAAACTAGATAATTGTGACAGAGGCTCATACACTGAGTATTTCAGATTTCTGATAAAGTTTTACAGTTCTATTTTAACCTTTAAGACATCTAATCTCAGAACAGGACTTTGACCTATTCTAGTATGTTAGTCATGACAGATATGTGCAGTCCTGTGGTGGTGGGAATAATGACAGACTTTAGTTATAGGAAAGGGATCAATTTAAACTGTTTGCAAGCTGTATATTACACTCTGATAGTCCTGCCAAATGATAAATCCCATACAGTAGGCCAAGTAAAGGTCTGTAGGAGATGGTTTAAACCTTAAGGAACCACTACATTCTCCTTATTGTACTACCCTCCAGACAGTCTGAACAAGCCAGAAAGTTACTCAACATGTAAAAAAAGCATTTATTTCAAGACAGCATAGAGTGAGAGCTTTAAACAACTACAAAGCAAAAGAAAGACCAATGCCCAGAAGAACACTGTGCAAACCTTGAGCTTAATAATCTCAAAAACATACCTGGAGCAAACCACCATCATAAGACTTTGACAAATCATAAGCAAAGCCTTGGACCAACACTCTGTCCATCCAGCCCTTCAGGATCGCAGGCATGCTGAACCAAAACAAGGGAAACTAGGCAAAGAGTAAATGACCTGGTTAGCACAGAGAATCTGGACCACCCTTAGGCCTGGTTCACAGGCCAAATCCTATTCTCCGAGTCTGCTCAGATCTCGTACCTGCCTTCTTCCAGCTCTCTGCCAGGAGAGGCAGTAACTATGCTTGGCAGCAGGACCTGAAGTGCTTTCTGATTGTAGTAGTCTCAGGGCCATACCTGAGCACCTACACTAACATTAGGGTATATGTGAGGGCTTCCACCCAGATTAGAGTGGGAATATGATGAATCAGGAAGGTACCCTTTAATTCAAACTTAAGACTGTACAGAATCACTGTACAGAATCCTATGTGTGAAATGCAAAAGCAACAGATGATCTAATGCCTTATTAGCAGGACTGACATTAGATGATCAGTTCTGATCTGACAGTGTGCTGACAAATGCTGGGGGATCTGAAGATAGACTTACTTTCACACCCTGCTGATATCATGACCCCAAATCCCTTTATTGAGAAGGAAACTACTTCTTTAACACTTGGACTCTTAGTGTATAGAGCTTCCAGTTAGCCTATGGGACTCATCCCAAAGTTATCATGTCTTAATTGCTTTATCTTGAATGCTTTATGGGCTGTTTTTCTAGGAAGCATCACTAGCACTAAACCTTTGTACAGACTGCAGCACAGAAGAAAACCTGTAAAAACATCACCACATTGGGCTTATTTTGAGATGGAAACAAAGTGGAAACCAGACAATCACCACTGTCTCTACCAGTGGTGAGTTTAGTCTGCAGCAAATTTTGAATGATTTTATGGTGTCTTTCAGAGGCTTTTTTTAAATAAACAAGAGATATAGTGAACAACACAACTGAAGTCTATTTAAAATAATGACCTGAAAAATCAGCAAGTCTGCTTCCTGCACCTTCTTTTGCTCTTCAACCAGATCTTTGGACAAACCTCCCCTCTTGTAAGCTTCCCAGGTCTCCACACCATAATTGAAAGCTTCCGAGTTATGCAAGCGACCTGTGGGTAGAAGTGAAGTCATTCCTTGCCCTGTGTCCAGCACCAAGCCAGATAA